ACCAAAAAAGTAGTAAGAGCCATTAAAACAACTCTGGCCGAAATGTTATGAAATTTTGCCACATATTGTTTGAAGGATGACACAATACACAAATCATAGGGATCTGAAGAGACAAAAGATTCATTGGATGATGTGTTAAAATTCAATTTCGATTTAAAAGGAATGGAATCTTTCGTTCGTCGGTGAGTCTTTCGAATAAACGTTATGGAGAGTACGTTCCAATTAGAAAACGATGACTATTTCAACATGGAACGCGATATTCTATGTGCATACACCTTTGTAAAGAAGTGAAAAAAAAAAAAAATGAAATATATATATATATATAAATATATAAATATTTTTCAAGAATTATTTTTGAAATTTTTAACTTTTAATTTTTAATCATATTCTGAGTGATTGCGATCACTGTATAAGATTGAGAAGATTACGAGAAGCGAATCGATAATCCGTATTTCATCGCGCCATCATTGGGCGGCGCCATCGTTAGGAAGATGTGTGAAAAGTGCAAAAAATTTCTACTGCAATCGGGGAAGCAAATCGTGCTCCCACTTATATTATGCTGCACTACTCTGCACGCAGTAACGTATGATCGAAGGAAACTTGATGCAACGCACTGCAAGTCAGCAAGTAAGCATAGCAGTGCAGAGATTGTATCGCATACCGTTAACCGTTGTAGAAAGTTTTGAGAAAAATATGACAATTACAATTAATAAATAAATTGCCGAAGAAAAAAATGATCTCTTTATGTTGTGTCTTTTTTTTTAAATATGTTTCAGAGACAAAATGTTAAAAGCTCGTATTCTTCTCGATAATATATTTATAAACTTGCAATGTCATTATCATTTCGTTATCGGCATTCTCACTATATTATTATTATTATTATTATTATTGTTGTTGTTATTGTTAACACTTTCATTCGTATGAAGCTTTTAGATTCCGCTTTGCTTTGCTTTTCTCTTGTTTGTTTTATTTAATTTTTGCTTTTATTGCTTCTATTTTTGATTGTTTTATATATATATATAGATTTGTTTTTACTATATTTAGTATTTGCTCTTTGTTATTATCTGTGTTTGTTGCTTTCTATTCGTTTCAAAAACCAAAAAAAAAAAAAAACAAGGAATACATTAAGTACATTATATCATAAGTAACACACAACTGCAAATTCAAAGTCGATAGATGAGAATATAAATTCAATAGCCATGCGATAAGCATTATCCATAGCCATCTTAATATTATCGCATCAATAGCCAGCCTTTAAAGAGCGTGGACAACAAGAATTTTAATAGTCCGCTCGCAGAAATTCCATTGATACGCGTATGGGGAGATTCAGACTTGAAAGATAAGATTTAAAATCCGCTCATTGAAAGAAGAAAATTGATTGTTTTTTTTTTTATTTTTTTTTTTTTTTATTTGAAATATTTTAAAAATGAAAAAAAAAAATATTTTGGAAAATAGCTATAAAATGGTAATCGCTGTCTCGACCAGCGTCATACAGCGCTCGCTCAATGACTTTTAGTTGACAAGTTACTGATTGATTTAATATTTGACCTAGAGTTCGCAAATAAAAACTGGATTATGCACACAAACATAAGGCCTAATAAGCTCTAATCCAATTTAACTATGATTTCCAAATGCTTAAAGGGATCTCCTTATACTTTCTATTGGGGGCTTTTTTCGAATTTCAATTTGAATTTTTATTTTTTCACACCTTAAATAAAAAAAAAAAATGTTGTCTTTATTTAACAGAATAACATACATACATACATACATACATACATGTTCGATTCTATTATAACGGTATGCCAAGACAATTCACATTATCACGTAGCCTTAATATGGATATGTAAAGATGGGAAGAAAATTAAGTTAGACTCTTTATTAGCCTGCATCGAGCACGATTCATTCATTCATTCCCCTCCACTTGAAATTATAATTTTTACGCCCATTATTATAATAAAAACATATATAAATTAAATTTATCAAAACTTTCTTACATATTCAAATACGTTTCGATAATTTGCCAGTTCTTGCGTGAATAGCGCGCGAAATATAATTTCTCATGTCTGTTGCGTATAAAAAAAAATCACGGTTACGGTATCACAATATTTTCTGGAAAAATAAACTTGGTCTTAATTCTATCTATCCTTGCTATTGTCAAAAAAATTAATTTAAAAAAATCATTTATCATTTTACAAAAGAAAATGGCATTCGGTTATGGCCGATTCTATTATACCCCTCACTCACCTTTATCGTAAAAAAAAAAAAAAAAAAAAAAAAAAAAAAAAAATAATAATAATAATAATAATAAAATAAATTTTAATATTTCATAATATTGTGCGAGCTTGTCCGGCCTTTAGCTATTTTTATACATTTACTGTATGGTCAGTTATTATCGCCGCATCTAGTGTCGCCTAGTGGCTTATTTTCGTAAACACGGAGCATGCAAGGACTTGCAATGTTTTTGTCAAATTCAAAGCTAAGCATTAAATTAATTTACACAGGCGGACGGACAGATAGACAGACATGCTTCACAGTTTTGATATCAATAAAAATATTATATGTCGTACAGAATCGTCTGGGCGGATTCCAATTCAAATCACTTTGATAAAATAAACATACCTTCGCTTGTCCGCTTGTGCGTGTAATATACACACACACACACACACACACACACACACACACAATCTGGCAACAATATGTGTCGTTTTTAATCGCGCGCCTTTTTTTTTTTTTTAGCCCATTAACACAAAATTGTCACTGCGTTATTATTTGACAAGAGGAAACTAGACGGCTTTCCGATACTTTCGTTGATTTTATGCGAAACACTTATGTATTTACTTACTTGGTAAATAAAATTATTATTACAAATAATGAAGCGGTAAATTCTCTCATCTGTTTGCAGCATACCTACGTAAACAAGGAAAATTGATGAATTTGCCACCGAATACCGAAAAGTCAAGAAATTTCTCTAATAATCGAACAACTTCTCCAGCCATAAAAATGCAAATATTGCAGCTTTTCGGTCCGACGACATTTTGAAAGTAAAACTTTACAATCATGTTTGTCATTTTCGTGAGATGTTTCGACACAGATGCACATGTCAATTTCATTATTTAAGCTGTTTAAATGAGTTTAAAACTGGATTAGCTTTGAAAGAAATTAGAAAAGTTGGTATTTTGAAAAGGAAAATTCACTTTTTCACGAATCTCCTCATAACAAAAATGTATCGCGTGTATATATATATATATATATATGCTTGTGATTCAAATACATTGCTTACACCCTCTGGAAAACTATGCCTACGAATTATCTTTACCCGTATATGCCTAGACGAGTAGCTGAGAGTTCAATCAAACTCAAATCGTAATACGACGGCGACAGAGTTTACTTTCGTCGCAGTTATAGTGGGTGCGCTCGGTCGATAAAAGGCATAACATTTACCGATTGGGTATAGATAGCCCTACTAGGCTGTGGCCGCTTCCCCATCTCTTTCTCTTCTCTTCCGTTCCCATCTTTCCGATTGTCACCGTAGTACACGCATTGGTGAATGATTGATTGGTCATAAGTTGTCTACATATTGTTCCGTCAAATAGAATTTGACGTTTGCTGTATAGCAATAATCAAAAAAAAAAAATATTTCATGGGAAATTTTCTCAAATATTTTCCAAATCCAAGTTCCAATCCGAGACATTAGCAAATTGCCTATCAACGACAAATACTTGCAGCACTTGAGGCATAAATTGATTTTCTCTGCAATAAAATTATCCTCTTCTTTTTTTTTTTTTGCTTTTCGATTTCTTGATTGATCATTGGGCACATTTGGAACTTCTTCTCGACAACCTTTGAACCTTTGAAAGTCGGTGTTTTTTCATTTTACACATTTTGACAAACAGAAGGCAAATGCTACATATATATTTACTTAGCGGTCGGTTAATCATGCGACCGGTTACATATACGGAAAACTAAAGGCAATTTTCAATTATCGATTAAAGGTTAATTCAGTTGAATATTGTCAGATGGTCTTAAATAAAGCCAGCACTTGTCTACAGATGTTCACAGTATCGAATAGAACAGTTATGAAATGAATTTTAGTCTAAACTTCTATTTGCCATATAAGTAAGCAAGATATACTTATATAAACGTATAAAGAATTTATTTGATCGGTTATAGTTAAGATCGCGAGTTAAGTAGAGTAAGTGAAAATAGATTTGTCTATAGATATAAAATTTATTGAAACAAACAAAATAAGATACGAAAACTGAAAACAGGCGGTAAGTGCATATCAGTAATTTCATTGAAAATGTATTGCAGACCATATGGTTAAGTATTTAGAGTGGAAAAGACTTAAAAAGAGAAAAATCTTTTTATATAATTTTTAATATTATAAATTTTTATATCTATATATGTGTACACTATAAGGTATAATACTATTTATCGAATATACATACATGCGATAATTAAAATGTTTGAGGTTTTTTGTTTTTATTCCCTTAAACGGTATATTTTTCTTTTACAGTAAACAGACTCCTTCTATTTACTGTAGAAATATCACAACACTTGCTTACTGAGAGACACTAACTAAACTGAACAATGTGGGCAAACCAGCAGCAACAGCAGCAGCAGCAGCAGCAAAAACAATAACTATAGCAATAACGGTGAAAGCCGGCAAAGCAAGTACAAAGTCTAATTGTAAATATGAAAGCTATGCAGACACCATCGCATATATATTGATACATATATTATATACATGCCTGTATATATTTGGAAGGACACAGTTATGAAGAATATTACGATTAATATTATAATAAAATCATAATATTATACTACACTAAAAAAAAAAAAAAAATCAAGACAAAGACAAAGAGAGAATATGTTCTTTTCTTTTCTTATTTTTTTTTTTTTTTTCTTTTCTTTTTTTTGCATTTACCAAGGATTTAAAAATACGTACGAACGAAGCAATAAGGAAATAAAAAAGATCGTGTATTTATAATACAACTTACCCGGAAATTGATTTTTTCCCGAAGAAAGGGAATTTCAAGCTGAAGAAATGAAAGCCAAATATATTGAGATGATGTTGCAGCAATGACAAAAAACTAAACTAAACGTCGATTATAAAAGAAATGTTGCGTTTGCGCTGACGTCATTTACAAAAGCCACATACACCTAAATCTCTCCGATAAGGGAGATAAAAATTGCAAGGGAAAACGCAGATGTTACTTAATCACAACAAAATCGTAGGATGGTTCTCGGTGTTGCAAAAAAAAAAAAAAAAAAAAATGTTTATTGCTTATAATAAAAACCGAACAACAAGCACAATCACTACTTCTTTGAACTGCAATAATTTAAATAAACCGAACACAAGAGCTTCTCATAACACAATTGTTTAAACAAAAGAAATATTTTTATTTAACGTTTTTTTTTTCTTAATTTTTATTTTTTTTTTTTGCACCGAAAACAAAAACGAACTGAAGGTGAACAAGCGAAAACAGTTGAATTCTTTTTTTTTTTTTTTTTTTTTTAATTTTTTTGCATTCGTTTTATTGTCTTTAGCGACTCTCTTGTCTGTGCCTGCTATTTCCCGTATACGGCCTTAGGTAATTGCTCTTTTGTTGCTTTTATTTTTTTTTTTTATTTTTGCTTAAACGGGGCTATAAACGGGGTTACCAATTGAACAATTTCTTTTTAATTCGCTACTTTTAACATTTATTCGTTTTATCTAGTTTTGTTTTTCCTTTTCTTTTGTTCAAATAAAAATTGCTGATTACATTTATTCTCTATTAATTTCATTCTCTCTTTGCCAATTTTTGCAATTCAATTTTCGTCGTCAAATTTCATGTACAATTCGATTAAAATCCCTTCAAGTCGAAATCCTATTTTCAAAATAAATATTTTTAATAATTATTCAATTAATTTTCACGGATTCTTATGATTTTTTTCACCGTTTGAAAAATATTTATCAGACAACTATTTGTTATAGCACACACGAATAAAAATTCTTTACATACCAAGCTTAAGCGAAGTGTAGAATGAATAACTAGAAAATCAAAAAGCAAAAATATCTAAAGTAATTACGTTTATAGAGTGATTCATATGAACATATTTTTAAAAAATATATCACATAAAACAGCAGACTAGTTAAGGCGAAGCCAAAATGCATTTTGAATTTGAGCATTATTTTAATTTCATTTAATTTTGATTATATTTAAATTGGAATAAGATTTTAGGCGTCTACAGCACGACACTAGATAAATAAATAAATGCATTAAACGAATAAAAGAAGTTTAGCATGTTAAAATCTCATATAGTCGCAAAAATCGAATCTATAATTTTTTTAAATTCTATATTGCATGCATATACGCAATTTCCCCCTCAACTTCTCAAGGTACGCAGAGATCTAATGCAGTTTGTATTGCATATACATTAACCAATGCATAATTACAAATTATTTTTATCTATTTATTCACTTAGTTTCAGTTATTAGATTGAATAGTTCGAAGAAATTTTTCTAATTCGCATTTATATATTCATACCGAAGCTATTTTTTAATTGCCGTTCACAGTCATAGGTATTCAAATTTTTGTCCCAAAATGTATAAAGTATATATATGTAAGCATATAGCTTTTGTATTTTTCAGCACAGAAATAACAGCATTTCCATAAGTATAGCATATCTCACGGGTTCAATATTATTATGATCTTAGTTAGGCATGAACATTTTTTCTTTTCATTTATTTATATTATTCTATTGTTAAGTTCTAGCCTTTTGAAAGGATTCATAATGGTCAATCAATCAAAAACGCGAATTTTATATTCAATAGAGGCTACAATTTGATAGTGTTAAGTTCAGTCTGTGATTGATTGATTGAATTTTTTATTACAGTTACAGTTTGAAAGCATTAGATCCGGCCTTTGGTTAGTTGAATTTTGATATCGACAACGAAATTAATATTAGCTATGTACTTGTCTCAAGTTTAAGTTCAACTATAAAAAGCGCATATATATAGGTCAATGGATGTGTCAAAATAAGGCAAAAGAATACTTTTTTTTTTTTAATAAACGTATACGCAATCGGCGATTTTTCTCTCCACTGTGCCTGGTATAAAGGAAATGAGAAAAACTGTGTGTTTATGCAAAACTATTCCCGAAAGGTTGGCAAATCTACGACAAATGAGGGTAACTCGGGCAAAGAAAATAAAGAAGAAAGGAGAAAGGAAAAAAGCAAAACGTCTGCATTGTAATAACGCAGCCAAGGAAAATTCTAAAAATTGAAAATTTTCGAAAATAATTTAATTTATTAAATAAAAATTTAGTGAAATGCAATTGTGTAGCCATCGAAAATGTTGCTATTTTGCGATATTTGTGGTAAGAATTGAATTGCCCCTTAAAATAAAAGCAGGCATGTTTCATTACTCAAACTGTCGACCGGTCATCGGAAAGAGAATTCTTTTTAAGTTTTATTTTCTTAAATCAAAGTCTGAATTAATGTAAAAATTGTTAAATTTGATCTTTATTGTTACTTATTGCAGGCATTTTACGTATTTTATCATCCAACAGATAGTGGAGCCGTGTCAATGACCAGTGAAAATATTGATATGACTTTAGGTAAGTGTGTCTCTCATGTTCAATAAAAAATAGCGTAGGCTGTAAAAATGTTGAAAAATTATTATTCGGTCTTATTTGGTTAATAGTTGTGTGGAGTCTTTCTATATAATTTTCGTTTGCTATAAAATCAAAGCATGCAAAATGTATGTATAGGAGGGGTGCATGTGTTTATATATTTTAAATATTCACCCTTTTGACGTGTCACTTATAAAATGAATAGCGTATGATAATAATTCAAAAGCATGCAGTCAATAGCAATAATGAGATGCTAGGTGCTTTATATGGCTCGAATCTGGTAGCAGCTTTTCTTCTTTTTTTTTTTATTTAAACAATTTAACCGTAGCAATTTCATTTGCCAAGTTACATGATAAAACCAAACAGTTTTTAATACATATGCAATTATAATTTTAATGTATATTTAATTATCTTTTCGATTCTGTTATGAATCAGTACAGTTAATGTACTTGAGTTCGTATGATTGAATTGCGAATTAAAATTTTCATCTTTAATTATATAAAAATAGTTCTTATTAAACAAAGAATTATTTGTAGGAAAAATAAGTTGTCTTTAGTATTTTTCAAGTATGTATTTAATACAACAATATGTGCCGACACTTACTTCCTCTGCCCGCAGTAAAGAGTGAAATTATATATTAAATTATATGAAAGGTTAGTTTCTTCTTCTGATTGGGCAAGAATACACTTCATATGTATTGTTAATTCTATTTAACTGAGGGCCATTTTCTTCCCGCAAAGAGCTAGTCGAACATTGTTTTCCTACTCCCAAAAGTCGTTGAAAAATTTTCTATATCATATTTATAGCAAAAGTTTTGTTGAAACTTCTTCTATATACTATACATAGCTTGAAGGTTCCGTTGATGCATTTCTAGTATTCCATTTGCTTAGCTGTATAACTAATTTACTCTGGCAAATTACAAATCTTTCTCTCGGTAAGTGCTTAGCTTATAGGATAGTAGAGCTGAAAATATTAAAAGTATTTATATTTTGCTAATAGTGATTTGGCAAAGGCCACGGCCACTCTTCCTATCAATTATATCATCCTTTTTTTGCGCATTTCTACTTAATTGCCGATCATATTCATCGATGTCTTCAGTAAATCCGAAAAGCGTTTTTATAATTTCTATAAATCCGTGGTGTTGACTTTGAAGTTTCTCTAATACTTCTTGGAGTGTTGAGGAGCTTATTCAAAGTTCCAATATTGAAAGTATTTTGTCAGATGTTGAAAAAAGTCCGAGGAACTTTTTTTTTTTTTTTTAATGAAAAACTCGCTTATTTTAAAAGGATAATGCGAAATATTTTGTAGCATAAATACTTTACGTATCGATATAACAATAAAGACATTATTCTATATAATAGACTGTAAGCCCCATACACCGAAATCATTCAATCAGGTACTTGTTTTACGCACAAAATTCTTGCGGGATGGATCGATCGCATCGTTAATGATGCTCTTGCTTTCGGTAATATTAGCTTGTCCTCCCCTGCTCGCATTAGCAGTGAAGACGAATTACTATTTTTGCCGAAGCCGTTATTTTTTTTGCTTGATTTTTTCTAATCGTTTCTTTTAATATTTAATTAGACCATCGAAGTTATGAGTTAGTATTAGTGAAACTTCCTCTTTGTGGCGGAAAATTTCTTATTCACCGAATAGCGGTGCAAAAAAGACGAATACCTAACAGAGCTTTCTCCTTGAAATTTCCGGCTGCTTCAAATGAATCCCTGTTGGGAAGTTGTGTTATCCCTAGTGTTTGCGAAATCCAGAAATACATATCGAACCCCCGATCTCGTAAATCCATCTTATATATATATTCCCGATCGACGTAAGATGGTGAGTTGTTTTAACGCTAATCGTTTGCCCTCGATTGCTGAGATACCGGTCAAAAAAACTGAGATATAAGACCAAGATGTAGCATGTATTTAGCATCATTCCACCCCAAGTCTAGAAATGCTCCAGCAATGGAGAAAAATCATACTTGCAACTTGCAGCCTATAAAATATATTTATATAGAAAAACGACACAATCCATGTGTCCATGTGGAATGTATTATAGGAGTCTAGAAAATATTCCAAACGACTGACTGACAAGTCCGTATCTAATAACGACTGCACTTATAATGTGTTGTTCTTTTGGGACGATGGGTATCAAAGGTATGCTCTAACATAAAATACATTTTTCTTCCTTTTTCGTCACTGACGATGGCTTCTCAAAGGCTTTTCGAGTTTGCTGAATATTCATGAGCAGAAAAGCACACAAGATATATGTTATCTGTTTAATAAACGTCAGTATCTAAATGTTGTATTATTTAGGCAAACGATGTGAAAGATAGACTCATTCAAACGAATGTCTGTCTTTCAACAGTATAAATAGGTTAAGTGCTTAAAGACATATTTTCTATACCATAGCAAAGAGGCATTACATTGCGCAAGGGAAGCACAATTAAATCTCAAATTAGTTTTGAACACGTGAAGTGAAAGCATAAATTCCTCACGATTGTTGAGCCGGTCGCGAAAGTTTTTTTTTTTTTTTTTTTTTTAAATCATTTTAACATAATAAAAAAAGGAAAGGGTCCCTTGCAATATTCTAGGTGTATACAAAAACTCAAAAAAAAAAAAATCAAAAATCTTCTCTGGTCTTTAGTATTCATTTAGTTCGCCCATTGAATGTATTCTAATTGGATTTCAGTGGGGAAAGAAAAATGTGAAAGTAAAGTCTATAAACAACGTTACCGTTATAATAGGGTGTAACAAAAATCTTATTTAATTGTAACAAATAGAAAGTAAGAAAATGATATTCGGTGGTGATCACATCGTTTAGGCCCGCTACCGTCACCGTTAGCCGTGGTGCATACGATATTCACTTTCGGATTATCCGCCTGAGTGGCCGAGTAGGCAAGTGTTTCGACTAGCAACTCAATAGTCGTGGGCTCAAATCTCAAGTGCGGTAGAGTTTTTAATAAAGCCGGAAGCCTTAAATCCCTAGTGTGCTTTAAGAGTGTGCTTTTAGTCTTAGAATTTATTCTCTGGCTAAAATTATAATAATAATAATAATAATAATAATAATAATACTTTTGGATTAACGCACTTAGCTTATCGCATTCTATCCTTCAAGTCCTAATTGATTGTATTGCAAAGAAAAAACGAATCCTCCACGTTAGATGGGGCCAATCATGTTTATTTTAGAGCTTACGTAGATAGTAAATACATAGATGATAATATATCTTCATGTAAAAAATATTGAGAATAATTTTCGACATTCTATCCTGCTTATCTGAAGAGAACAAGCGGAAAACATTAGGCCCAAGTGCTGCTGAATCATCGACTACATGCAAATTTATACCGTTATATCTGATTGTAGTTTATAAGTAACGAGCAAAAAACGAAATTGTTTTCATTTTTAAAAACTAAGGTGATGGTCTCAGCTAATATAGTAGTACTGTCGTCGGATGATTTAACCGATTCGTCCCATTTTCAATATCACCTAGGCCTGCAAGAACTAGCTTAGCTTCATTTTTGCGATCAGAAAAGTGTTTACACAGACATGCGGACAGGCGGACGGACGGACAAACTTAAATCGGTTTATAATTTGATTGCCGATCATGAATATATATATATGTATACTTTATGGGGTAGAGTGTGGGTGTTGTAAACTTAATATGCTTCCCATTCCTCGGTGATGGGTATGAAAGGAAAATCTAGAAAAATATTTCAAAAATCTTATTTATTTCAAAAATTTGAAAACAATGCATTCGTGCTTTATTTGTCTTTTCATTTTCATTTATTCGCGCTTGTGTGAAATCTTTGATGAACATTTGCTACGAATTCTTGCTTTCCCTGCCAATTTAATAAATGTTACATTAATTGTTTACTCTCTCTATTTGGTCCTTCTTTTTTGGAACCAAATTCCAACTTCCAAATTTGTAATTTTTTTTTTTTTTTTTTTTTTTATTTATAAAAAGAATGAGGTGAAAAGAAAGTCATCAGCTTTTAGAATTTGTGAGTGGCTATTAATGCCAGACTGGGATCGAAAGTATCGAACGAAAAGGAAAGTACCAAGAAATCTAGAGTAATCTTGAAGTGATAGTGCATGTTAGGATTGAAGAATATTTTCTTAAATATAAGTCAGTCGAGTCAGTAGTTAAGTTAATCGTTTGCCAATTGAAGTAACTCGGAGAAGATTTAAATCAATTATGTTGTATTATCTGTAAGTAAAAAATTTATTATATTATATGTATTGTGTGTGTATATTACTTATTCATTTTAAGTTTTAGATGGATAAGGGCCTCGTGTCTAATGTTTGACAATGTTCTACTTTTTCAATTTAAGAAACTTTTTGTATTGCGTCTCCGTACCTATTAATAAAACTTAAATTATGTCATTACAGCCTCTAATGAATTGGTGTTTTTGAATTTTTATGCCGAATGGTGTCGATTTAGTAATTTATTAGCACCAATATTTAATGAAGCTGCCGAGAAGGTAAGAAATGTCATCATTATTTGTTCATTCATTACTATATTAATAATTGCTTTATTTACACATGATGGGGGTGTGGGGCGGGGGGCGATTTTAAAATTGATATTGTAGATTGCAGAGGCCTTTCCCGAATCGGGCAAAGTTGTACTTGGCAAAGTTGATTGTGATAAAGAAACAGCAATAGCTTCACGTTTTCATATAACCAAATATCCGACCTTGAAAATAGTCCGGAATGGTCAGCTAAGTAAACGTGAATATCGCGGACAACGTTCAGTTGACGCCTTCGTAGAATTTGTACGCAAACAATTAGAGGATCCAATTAAGGAGTTTAAATTATTAAAGGAACTGGACGAGTTGGATGTAAAGAAACGTATTATCTTTGGGTATTTTGATCGTCGCGATCAACCAGAGTACGATACATTCCGTAAAGTAGCCACAAATTTGAAGGAGGATTGCGAATTTCACGTCGGCTTCGGTGAAGTTGTTCAAGCCATGCACCCACCAGGTAATAAGCAGATTATTATTTCTATTTTTTTTTTTTTTCTTTTTTTCTATACTCTCCTTCCTTTCATTTCAATCATCCTATAAATAAAGCTTGATCAAGTATATCAAATTTTGTATCAATCTAAGAGTGTCTGTCTATCTGTCCGTTTGTGTAAGTTAAGTTAACTAGGTCCGAATTTGGTACAAACATTTGCCATTTGTTGTACGCTATTTGGTTATGCAAAAGGCGCGCCTACTGTACAACGTACACTGAGAATGCCTTCCTTTTCCTTTAGTGCTTTTACTCATCAAATTTGGATGTCCAATGCAAATTTGCCAAAAACATTGGCAGTATTCAAAAAAATAGTGTACTTCGTTTCAACTATTGTTATGTGTCGCCTGACGTATTGTATGAACATAATAGTTGTTTCGCGTGAAGCGTCTTCGCCCAATGTATTGTGCCGTGTTTACGTCATTTACTGAGAATTTAACTCATATCTCGCCGCAATCAGTCTGTTTGCTCGGTTTACCTTCGCCTGACTATTCTCGAAACTTAAAAACTGCTTTGTCGATATTGTTTTGACACAACAGACAAGATACAAGATATTGAGATGAATGATGATTTTGTCGTATGCAGGGCAGGGAATATTGCTCGAAAGAAAAATTCCGAATGTAATTCCTTCACATTTGTTTTTGTTATTGTATACATATTTTATGCTTTTGCCTTAGATGAAAGTGTATTTTTCAAATTTTACTACGAATTTGTCTGTCTGGATCCATTTATATTTATCGCGTTATTTAGGTACACCAATTATTGTATTTCGTCCGGATGTGGCTCTGAGTCATGAAAACGATGAAACATACGTGGGTAGTTTAAAAAATTTCGATGAATTGAAAATATGGATACAGGAGAAATGTGTACCATTGGTACGTGAAATAACGTTCGAGAACGCAGAAGAATTAACCGAAGAAGGCTTACCTTTCTTAATATTGTTTCATCATCCGGACGATACTGGATCAATTAAAGACTTTAAGGCGGTCATTGAAACGCAATTATTAGATGAAAAACGTAAGTTGATCGATACTAAACAAATTTAAAAATGTGAAAAAAAAATATTTATTCTTATTATTATTGCTATTTCTCAGAAAATGTGAATTTCTTGACGGCTGATGGCAAACGTTTTGCTCATCCCTTAAATCATTTGGGAAAAACGGAAAAAGATTTGCCATTAATTGCTATCGACTCATTTAGGCATATGTATTTGTTTACAAATTTCCGTGATATGTATATTTCGGGGAAATTGAAACAATTTCTACAAGATCTCTATAGCGGTAAACTGCATCGGTAAGTTTTGAATACACTTGAAATTCAAATTTCAAGTGTGTGTGTGTGTGTGTTCTTTTGTTCGTTTTTTCGCCGTGAAAAGCATTTTGTTTTCTCTAAATTTTTATTTATAGGGAATTTCACTACGGACCCGATCCGGTTAGCAATGATAATACCATAGAAATGTTACCTAATACCTCGCCGCCTGAATCCAGCTTTAAAAAGTTAGGACCGTCAAAGAACCGTTACACTTTGCTGCAAAAAGATGAATTGTAAATATTCGCCTCTTCTTTCGTTGTAAATAGAATTGAAAACCAACGAGATAATTTACGTGCTACGTGTGCAGTGTTTTGCCCATAAGAATGTGTGCTATACAAAATTCCACAATTTCTCTGAAACCAGTTTTTTATAATCAATGAAAAGAAAAAAAAAAAAAAAAAGTGTACAATTAACATAGAATTAATTAATTCCTCACAACAAATGTCGCTATTCGCTTTTATTCAAAATTTTCGCAAAAATTATGGAATTTATTACGAAAAATTTAAAAATAATCTCTGCACACCCGTCCTTAATTATGTATCCACCATCACAGTACTCAGGGTAAATATATTATATTTGTCAAGTGATTGTAATACGTGTAGACATATATATATATACATGCATATTACATATGTGTTTATATAACACTAGAAAAAGTCGTCTACCTGTATATCGAAATCAGTTATGTAAAAAAGATTTGTTTTAATTAGAGAATTGAATTTTATTGTAAATTGTCTGTTATTCTGTTTATTGCATTTGTTTGTTTGTTTGTTTGTCTCATTTTTTAATAGCAATTTCTAAAATTAGGAAAGAAAAAATTAGTTGGAAGAAAAATTTAATTACGAATGAAAGAAAATGTCATCGCATCTCGAGGCTTTGACAATTCACAGTCAATGGTGGGTATTAAAGGTTCGACCTTAGGGCGAATATAACATTTATTTCTCTCTCTCTCTCTCTCACTTTCTCTTTCTCTCTCTGTCTCTGTCTCTGTCGGCCTCTTTATCTTCCTGTCTCATTTTGTTTGTATAGAAAAAATATTTTATTTGAATTTAAAATATAGTAATATTTGTTTTAATGTAATCAAAAAATTGTAAGACCCTTGGAATGATATTGAATTTCTTTTTTCAAAGATATTTTTTTTTTGCATATTTGCATTTAATTTCATTCATTATGTAAATTGCGCATCCCTTGAAAATAAAAAAACTTTGAAAAGCTCGTGTGAGAACTTGCGTAAACAACATCCCGTTATGGCTAAAATTATTTTAAAGATAATATTAGAATTAGTTTGTATTAAAGTATAAATAAATAAAAAAGAAACATAATAATAATAATAAATTACTTTTAAATAGAGAATTATGAATAAAACGAAACCTACTTCAATAATAAGAAAGTATACTTAAAATACATATATACATAAAACATATATATATATATATATATAGTTGACATTGCTGCTGTTATGCTTTTATTAGATTTCTTTACTTGCAGGCGTTTACCGACATTAGAAAGGAGCAACGATGGTTTTCTTTTCTACTTACCTATTATATTTTCTTTCCACGAATCTTTTCCGTACGTGGTTTCGAATTTTACAATTGTACCATGACATTTATTAAAACTATTTTTGACCTTTTTCCAGCTATTTAAAGTCGGCCCGTTTATTCTTGAAAAAGTAATCGTTTGGATAACACTCGGTAATTACCCAACATTTTTTACGAATATTCGCTTTCGTCTTTCGCGCAAATCTATATGTGCTATATAGCGTTAATTTGTAGCAATCGGACAAACGTGTAATAATCCTATGCTCATAATGCACGGAAAGGAAAAGGACATTACAAGTTTCCGAGAAGGTATTAACACGATGTCAATTTTTTTTTTTTTGCTTTTCACAAGGCGTTACCCACGCTGTTCATGTCGCCGTGCGCGAAATGAAAATCCCGTAAACCCGTAAAGGTGGAGTTTTAAAAATTTATTCGTTTTATTCTCCAAAAACCAACTACTGGTTACCCGGAATAGTAAAGAAAGTTGTATACAAGTGCAATTTCAAAATTTCGATCTATATCGACAATAAATGGCTTTTTTATGCCCGCGATAATATTTTCTATTAGAGCCAGTTCTCGATCTACAAAATGAGTAACCTACTAAAGAAGACCCATGTGCTCATTTCAATAGTTGCACTTTCCGATAGTGAATGAGGTATGTCATGATCAAATATATATTAGAATAAAATGAATATTGCTTATTTTACAAGACTAGAGTAGCAGGGCCAGTATCGTGTGCCTCGTTAAGTTGAATATATTTAAGTAATAGGGCAGGTCTAGGTTATTACGTTCATCCTCAAAAATCTTATTTTTTCTTGGTCCGGATTTAGTTCTACGTTGCTTTAAGCAAGTTCACAACAAGTACGCGTGGCAGACATTAAATATTAGCGTGCAACAGCTCGTCTCGCTGCCTATGAAAAATGATGAAAAACCGTTGCATTTCTTTCGTTTTGATCGAATGTTATAAATGTTTTATTCACAGTCTCGAAATAATACAAATTAAATTGCAATTATATTAACAAACGTGTGTTTAACATTTTGTCCAATAAATAAATGAAACCAGATCTTGTTATAGCAACGGTATGAACGATACAATTGCGTGACTTCTTTTTTCTGGAACTGCAGATGCAAAATATTAAATGCTAATAACAATTTATTATGTTACTTACGATTCGGAATTATTTTCTTCTAATATAACTGTTTTAACTATTTTTTTGTCCGGCTCCATATTGTTTGTGTTCCCCGTTGAACGAGATCTTAATGAATTAGAATTTTCAATTCACACAAGATGGACAAATCAATATAGCGTCTAATGCCTAATTGAGCCAAATTTTTATAATGCAGTTAACAAGTTTATGTTAAACAAAGTGTAAAAACTTTATTATTTTGTTCAAGTTCCATTCATTAAAAATGCAACATTTTGTATAGTTATAATATAATATAATTGTATAAAATACAGAAACAGTAATGGTTTGATGGACGGATTCGTAAAATAACGCGGAATGTTTGATCAAATTTGATTTATACAAACAGATCGGTATTCTTAAACTTAATACTATTAAAAGCCATTATGTTAAATCTTAATTCAAGCTTCTATCTTAACGAAAAAAGTTTCTAACTATCGTTAATGAGGTCACCAAGACCGCTGTTAAGATGACTGTTGGCATCATCGAGAGTTTTTTGCCCCCGCTCTGTGAACATAACAAGAAAAAACGAAAAACGGTATAAGGATGCTCGTTGAAATTTTATCTGACAACTCACTATGATAAAATAATTGCAGCGATCTCCTTGACAGCACTCATGACATGACCAATCTTCGTACCATATATGTGTACAATAAGGCATATGACGCTTACGTTTCGCCTGGCACTGTTGTTTTGTCATGCATCGCTTGGAAACATAATACTGTTTAAGAGCTCCTTGTGAAAAATATGGCAGACTACCCCATCGTATTTCAGTGCCACAAACATCTTCGCCGGGTTCACAAGTGCGAAGAGTATTCAAACATTTTTCTACATTCCCCGTTTGATTTGTACACACATAACAATCTAAAGCATCGACATCAGAAACTGCGAATAAAAGGTGTGGTCAAATAAGTTGGCAGACATTAGGAAAAATTTTTTTGCAACGAACAATAACAAAATAGAGTTAGGAATGCGGCAATAAGTTTCCAATATTCCATATTTTTTATATAAGCAATTAAAATAAAAAAAAAAAAAATTAATTAAAACTCCCGTGAAATAACGCAACGACACAAAAACACATAGTATTTATAAAAAAAGAAGAAGAATTCCATAAAGCCCAATAGTTATGTACACAGTACAAAACCTATCCCCTTTAAAATTATTAATAACAAAGACAAAACTCACACACATATATATGGATATATTTGATATAATTAGATCGTGTGGAGTTTATAATGAATTTATTACTAATTAATCTAAACTTTTTTTCTTTTTTTGTAAAACAATGGCAACCTTAAAGTTCTCAGAGCTATCAGTTATGAGTGAATTTTAACTCTTAGAAGAGGAGCGAAGTTTCGTTCGTAGCTTCTTGTGTGTATAAAGAAAAGAATTGATTTTTTTGTTATTATACTTTGGAAGTATTTCAAATATTTATAATTATTGTACATATTTGGTGCACCAGCCATACACAGCACGATGGGCGCTGCTTTTTTTCCGCTACTAGTATTTACTGCGTTATGGGGAACTGTAGGCATTGGTTTGCCACTGATGACACCTAAAGGACCGAATCAGAATCTTATACGATGCATTCTAATGATAACAGGAGCTACTTGCTGGTTATTTTGGTTATGCTGTTATATGGCGCAGATGAACCCACTAATTGGTCCTAAATTAAATCAACATACAATTTACATGATAGCCAGAGAATGGGGTAACGAACTTGGAAAGGATTAACTGTTAGCGAAGCCTTACTTCAATATAATCTGTCACATATATAAAAGGGATTCTGTGTAAAAGTGTAAAAGTTAGTAAAAAGATTTAATTGAGTAATTAATATTATAAGAAATATGAGAATTTCGATAAAGTGAACTTGTTTGTTTTATATAATTTTAAATAAATATTTTAGTGTATAAATTTGCTTCAATTATAAGATTTGCATAATTTTTATTCGTTTTTTATTTTTAAAATATACTTTATGGCTAATAGACACAATAATAATTATACTAAAAATTTGAACAACAACAATGTTATAAACTAGTTGAATCGATTATGTATAATTTGACTAATATTTTAACAAATAAATACATTTTGGCTCAAACAGTTTTCTGGATTTATTTCTAAAGTTCGTTTCAACAGTGGCTTTTTACACCTTTATTTTTACTATTATTAGTATATCCGCATTGTGATTGAGATTCTACGGAAGCATTTTTAAAGGTTACGAATGTAATGAAAAAAAAAGTATACGATCGTTTTCTTATGGTGGCTCAGTATAATGATGCATTATTTGGACTTATTAGTAAATATTATAGTATTCTTATTTTTTGCATAAATAGTTCTACATTTTTACAAACCAAAATTTAAGGAATATGTTGTATAGAAGAAGCAAGCCTTTTCATATGTTTAATACATAAATTCATAGTTGTTGTTATGCGCTGAGAGGAATTCAAAATAAGTAAAATGAGTTTTTTTTTTTAATTTTGTCTTTCACATGACTCTTGTTTTAGTCGGATATTTGTAAATTTGCAACAACTGTTTTCTTTTTGTTCCACTTTTAGATTCGTGATCATGAATACAAGCAATTTTCGTGAAAATTTCGTCTTAATTATTTTTTTTTCTTCAGGCATTAAACAAAATACCCTGACATTTTGAATTTTTCTTAAGCTTATTCATTTTATCGATAAATATAAAAATTTCCTTTTTATATTTGTAAACAATTTCTAATTTGTTTTTGTGTTCGCTTTGTAAAAAAAAAAAAAACAACATTGAAGATACCTATCAAGGAAATGGCTGCTGCTTTAATTCCCCTGCTCTTCCTAACGATTTTTTGGGGCATTATTGGCATAGTTATACCTCTGCTGATACCTAAGGGTCCCAATAGGGGTCTTATACGCTGCATTTTAGTGCTAACTGCTGCAAGTTGTTGGCTATTTTGGTTTTGTTGTTACATGTCACAAATCAATCCATTGGTGGGTCCAATGCTACCTCAAAAAGCCGTGTTTATGATAGCTAAGAAGTGGGGTTATAAAATGGAGTAAAGGAAATTTTATGATAAATTTTACATTTTCATAATGCCAAATTGTAAAGAGTACTTACGGTGGATCTATAAAACTATTTCTTTATATTTATATATGTGCAAATATTTTTTAAAAAGTAATTTTTATAAAATATGAATACGTCAGATAATTGGTGTAGATTTTTAAAGCTTTATTGCTTTTTAAGCATGCTTTTTAAGTATGAAAAAAGGTTTTTTGAAAACAAAACTGCGAACAGTTAGATTTGATCCAAAAAAGCACGCAGAAAATATATAACAACTGTAGTAAATGCATCAATAGTATTACTTACCATGAATATAAAAAAAAATCTTATAATCATTTTATTCTACGGTGTTTAATGTATGAGAGACATATAAGAAATATGACGTACTGGTTCCCTGAAGTAAAGAAATAGATAACACATTTTTCGCATTGTATAAGTATGGCTTTGCTTTATCCTGTAAAGAAAATCAATAATGCATGCCTATGGTATTATAAAAACAAAAAATAAGCTTTGGTTCTGCAATATTGGAATATAAATTAAATCGAGCAGATTTTTCAACAGTTCTACATTGCTTCCAATGATTATATTCCGAGGAATCTTCTTTATCGCTACTTTCAAAATTGATATCAACGAGTATAGAGACTATTACACATTGATGCGTTATTCCCATTTTCGGGTTAAAAAGTCCTGAGTGATAAGCAAAATGAGATGCCGCGTTACCATACCATTTTGAAGGACATTCAAGATTAAAATAGCAGAATTGATAACCTTAAGTACGGAAATAAAATAAACAGTCGTCAACAGACCTAATCAATCCATTCATCTAAACAAACCAAACCACAACATTTGCGTAAAAGCAAATGTAAATTGTTGAAGGATTGTTGAAAGGGTGAACAATGAACTAGCAAAATTTCAAATCGAAAGACATAAAGAAAACTTCATTTAGTACGAAATGAATCTACGTACTTTTATTTTTGTTTTATTTGTTTGTATAAGCACAAAATCATATGATTTGCTAATTTCCGCTAAGTCCCGTAAAAAGTCGCGAAAGTTGAAATCTCATTGCGAAAATAGGAATAACGCATTGTTAAGTCAGCCCCCTATGCCGTCAGTTTGCTTATTATTACTCTTGTTTTTCGTTCGACGTTCATTGATTCATTGATCTCTTAAAGTGTTATTCTTTTTTTTATTATTATTTATAATTACTTACGCTGAAAGGAATTGTGAAAAAGACTTTTATGTGTAGTAAGCCTTTTGATAAAAGACTTCTGAATGCAGTTACTTTTGTTTAAGAACTTAAGGGGTTAACGCAATGAAACTTTGCTTATATGCCCAGGCCTGAGGAAGGCAATTAAATTATAAATGTTTCATAAAATGGGAGATAAATTTGATTTATAAACGTGCTTATATATATTTCATTTACATTTATTTATATATATACATATATTATACATACAGTTTTTAAACGTTTAATATTTATAAAATTTATAAATTGAATGTCTTGCTCAGAGGTGGAAGTATAAACGACGTTTCATTGTGGTATGCCCTTAAGAAGAGACTAGTTAAAATTTTAAAGGTTTGAATGATAAATCACAGTTAAAAACAAAAGGGTTTTTTTTTGTAATAAATTTTTTAATATGGAAAGAATGGTGTCAGAATAATAAGAAATATTTGAAGATATTATGAAACATTTAGCAAAGCATCGGAAAAGAAACTGTTTTTCGAAAAATGTTAGAAAATGCTAAGACTGTAAATATTCTCGCGCGCCTGTTTGCTGCAAATATGAATATAATCTACTAAGTCAAATGATTCTAAACTGTCATGAGGTTGATGCTTAGTGCTATAATATGCTCCGCTATTTCATGGCAGTTTGCATGTCGGTCTTGCTACACCAGTTGCAAAATTTCATCGACTTTTTGATTAAGTGCGAGGTGCATCTTTGACATTGAAATTTCCGGAATGGTATCGGGCAAACCACTTCTCGGTCTTTCATTCACTTACAACTAATCGCATCGTACGCTTCACAAACTTTTTTTTTGCAGCGTTTTTATTTTTTCTATATATTAAAAAAGCAACATATACCGTATTTCTTCAGATATTTCATTCATTTTCGAATATATAATATATATATAACTTTTCACACGAGCAAAGAATTAGAAAACTATTTGCACAAAAAAATCTAGGCACATATTTGTTTGTTGCCCGATATATATATTCATCAAGACCATTCCGCGGAAAATTTCCAATATGAGCTAGTAAAAAAAAAAAATGAATTTAACCGACACGGCTGTAACTACAGAAGTACGTAGAGTATTTTAAAAGTGTTAATTTTTGCGTGATAAGCCAAAATTTGAATGGAAAAATTCCAATTTTCGCACAATAGTGACAATTGTTTGTCAATAAATTGTATTTAAATTAATTTATTGAAAATATAATCGAAAAAGTTGGTTGGACTTTTATCGAATTTACTGCCCTTTTGAGAAAATGGAGTACTGCAGTTCATGTCCATACTGAAGTGTTTAATTAGGTCGAGGAACTAACTTACGCTGAATGGGTTCGGCGACTTATCCATTTCGAATTCCTTAAAATTGAAAGGAGGAAAATTTCTGTTATTTTAAACTCTCTCAGTGTTAGGGAGTTATTATATGACATGTGGCATTACATTGTAATTTTGAATGAACATGAGTTAAAAGCTATTTTTCAAGTTAAATATTCTATGCTTACTTTATGGAGGACCGTAGTATTCGAACAAATCGGCCATGTCTCCACAAAGTTTCATCAAATTTTCCTTTTTTTTTTTTAACTTTTTCCGCTTATTATTGCTAAGGCATACACGACAGAATGTTGAAAATTATTCTGTACATTCCTCAGATAATAATATATTATTTGTCTAAAAATGTGTTAATGCAAAATTAAACATCGCTGACATTACGACGTGGTGGATTAATTTTTTCTCCACAATTCCGTCGATATGACTATCAAATTTTTTGATTTAATTTGGATCGTACATATAGATGGGGTAATGGTGATGGGTACAAACGACATAATTTTCTTATTTATTTATTTATTTTTTGAGTGTGAATGAACCGAGATGCAGTAGAGATATTAATTAAAGACTAACAAAATTTTGAAAGAAATTGTCCATAAAGTCCTCTATTTATATTAAGATTTATATAACAATTATATATTATGATTACACGTAAAGCATAGATGGAACGCAACAAATTCGTAGATTTCTTATTACATATATAATCTATATTAGCGATTTGAAAGAGAGTTTAGTAGTAGAAACCCATTTGAATCTCAATTATCTGAAAGCTGTCATTAAGAAATTTTAATTTCATCAGTAAGCATATATAGTTTCAATTTATTCTAAATTAAAAAGTAAGCAAAGACAATATTTTCTTTTCAAGAGCTTGAATTTTTTTAATAGACTGTACCAGTAATACCAGGATTATAATGATAACCACCGGCAGGCGGAGGTGGAATATAGCCGGGTGTACCCAATGCACCTAAACCGCCGCCAACAATACTATTAGCATAACTGCTTGAATAGTAGCTAGACGGATAGCTATGATAACCGTAGCCTGGACGGTTGTAAGGATAGGCACCAAAACGGGAATTATAATAGGAATTATAAGGATAAGAATTGTAGCCCGAATGCATGTTGTAACCGGAATAACCAGGATAAGCGCCTAGATAATCATCTATCAGTATAGGCAAAAATATGTAAACGAGAAGAGAGAGATTTTCTAAACTTTGAATCACGTTTAATATGTCCATACCAACCATAACCTTTAATTGAGTAGGGATTACTATAGTAACCGCTTCCATAATTGTTTAAAGCGCCGTCATAAGCTGCAGAATAGCCATTAGCACTGTAACCGGGCACATAGCGTTTCAATTGATATTTGCCTTGCAACGGATAAAAATCACTGCCGGATTGTTGTAGTTCCTGTGTAGTGGATCGATCTTCGGTAGTACTACTTTCCGCTTTTGTTAAACATAATAATGTTAATAGAAAAATGTTGGAAAACTAAATCAAAACACACGCTTATAATTGTCCTTTCAATAGTTAACTCGAATTGCTTTCATTATTATTAATGTGTTAACTACTTACTATAAATATCATAGTTAAATTCGTACAGTAACGTTTTTATTCGATTTTACGATAACTATTATTATGCTCGCTAAGCTTCTAAGCAACAACTAATGTTTAACACTTAACTGTTGCGAGTTTTTATACTGATTTGAAGCTTAACATATCTTAAATACATGACACGAGGGGTTGAAAAGATCGCTCTCCGTGTGTCTTTCATTTTTTTTTTTTTTTTCTTTAACCGCCTCCATGTTAAATAACAAAATAAATAATTGTTTTTTTGTTAAAATGAAAATGTTCGAAAATATGTTGTACGAGAAGCAGGCAATAGAAGAAGATGATTCATGCGTGCATTGCTTGACAGTTAATTGTTTTGTGTTAAAAGATCCCATGTATATACGTAAGCATTCAACTTTATTATAATACATTTTTATTGATTTTGTGATGTGGTTTGAGGTTTCATTGATCTTAATTATATTTGCTTTTAAATATTTCTCATGGTTTCATTTCAGGCCAATCCAGTGTTGGATTATCCTTAATAAAAATCCTTAGACCAAATACTCTAAATAGCCCTCGATTTCCTTTAAATTAATATCTATGTCTTTATAAATTTTCGATTAACTTGGATCTAAATCTAAAATCTGATATCAGTAGACCTTAACGAAAACTCTATTTCTATTGAATATCACTCGTACTTTAAAAGAATTTTTGCTTTCCGCGTAACGCGTGCGATTTATTAAAATGATTTTAATATTTTAGTACTTTTTAGACCCTACACCATTTCTACTACCGGGACAATTAAGTTCGTGTGGACGTCTGCAATATATAGAAGACCTTGAAATAGACCCACTTGCCTGTATGTCTGTCCATCCTGTTTTCCTGTGTTCAACCTATAAGTCATAATTTTTGAGATATGTTGATGAGACTCGGTATACTGACGTATTTTGGCTCAAACATGAATGATGGATGTTTAAGAGTGTTGTCATACTTTATACCATCTATCGTTTGTATAGATGAATGCAGTACATTGACGTTTTTCAACCCAAGGGTGAATCCTATTGAAAATGGTCCGGATCAGTCCACTTTTTCGCTTACTCCCCGCGTAAAAAATTAACAGTAGGAAATTTACATCACATAGATCGATTTTTTAGACCACAACATATTAGAGAAAGTCTAACTTTTAAGTTTTTATGATGGAAACTAAAAAATAATACAATTTTTGGGAAATAATTTAAGTTTGCTGAATTTGGATCATGTTGTGTGATGTTTTCAGCATTCTCCAATATGCGGGCTCTCATGAAAAGTATGCCTTTGCATGAAAATAATGTGTAATTATTGATCTATTTTTACCAACATCAGCAAATAATTATGCCAGGACAAGTTGTGTAAAGGTATGTATCTAATAGTTGACCTTGGCCGGCTATCTGCTTTATATTTAAAATATAACTCTAAATCCTGACGCGTCATCCCTTTTCTTTGCATTCAATACGCCATCCGGCATTTTGGAGCCTGCTTCAATGCCATGCATTTCGCTTTATTAGCAAAATGCATTAATCATGAGTTACCCATGACTAATCTAACGATATTTGGATTCTATTAACTTGTGTGTACAGGAAAAAAAACCGTTTTTCTTTAATTTCTTCTTCTTTTTAAGAAGCATATATTCGCTTAATTATGGCTAATGCCCCTAAATAAAGCATTAGAAACTAAGTGATTGTTCATCCTTTCCAGGGCCTATCTTAAGTCTTTCTGGGCGTTGCATACATCCACATAAACTGAATATACTCTTCTACCGCAGGTGCTCCAGGGCATAATAAAACGTAAAAAAAGTATTCACACCATATAAAACAAACAAGAAAGTTATATTCGGCGGTGGTCGAATCATGCATACCCACCACTATGTTTTCCGCATTCTACTCTTCAAACTGTTTTATTTGATACCCATATCGCTGGTATAATTAAGAAAAAATTAATCGCGACATCTACCATCTATCATATTTGCTTTCAAATTAACCCTATTTTTAGGCAAATAATATGCCTGCATTTAAGGAGTGTACAAAATAGTTTTAAACATTCGGCCTTGTTTGCCTTATAATAAATAAGCAGAAAACCTCAAAAAAGTGAAAAAAATAAAATTTAATCATTAGTAACTTTATGACGGTATGGCCGATTTTGTCCATTGTTGCACGTAAGGAATCGAGTGGCTCGTAAAGTAAATATGGAAAATTTTCGCCTTCTAACTTTAAGAGAGATTAACGAGCAAAGCCCCAAAAATTTTTAAAAAGAAAAACGCAGCTGTGTTCAGTTTACGCTCCACTAGGCGCTTCTGCTCTGACCGATTTTACCCATTTTCAATATCAATCTGTGTGCAGAATCTTCCAATGTTTCCACTAAACTTAAAGCCGATATTTTCATTATTGCGACCAGCGGAGTGCCAACAGCACACATCACACAAGCACACAGAGGGTCGAACAAGGTTAAACCAACTTAGAATTTCATTTTATGTGGATTTCAGTTTATGGATGTTACATATATTAAGGAAAGAAACAAAACGAGTATTCCCCCATCTGACAGCGGTGGATATAAAACGCAATAAAATTAAAGAAATTTCAATCAATTTTGGACTTGTAAGTGGCCTAACCCCTTCGCATGCAATCTTGCGCATAGAGATGTAGAGATTAGAGAGAGAGAGTGAGCACTAAATTTTAAAATTTTAATCGTAGTACAGTTTAGAAAGAATTTCAAATTTTTCGCATAGAATACGAAATGTCTATTTACAGGATAGGAGGACAGATCGCAACAAGGGTTTAACGTGAGTACCTGCCTTGATGGCTTAACCTCACGGTGGCCCAAGCCACGGGGGTTATTTAAGCGTAACCCACGCCCCCTCAATAAACTCACTCTGATCAGTGTTGAGGCCTATCCGCACCTCGATTTGTTCCACTTTGACTTGGAACGAGTGAAAACCACAACCACCACGAATACTCCCCGAAAGGCCGTACCCAAGCAGTCAGGGCTCACAAATTGATCAACTTCAATACGTTCAAGGGAATAGGCTCGTAGTTTCTACAAAGCCTTGTTGATCAATTACCACTATTACCCGCAGGCATCCGTGAATATAGAATTTAAAGTGTAAAATAGGCAAAAGAGTAAAAAGCCTACCGTCAAGATCCTTTTAAAATTTGATTGACTACTTTTAATTTTAATTTCATCATTTACCCGCAGGTATACATGGCTATTGTGAGCGGGCTAATGACCCCCGTGGCTTCCAGTTTAGCCTATAAAGCCTTAAGCATACTTTACTTGGCGGAAACAGAGTCAGACCACTCTTGCCTTTGGATTAATCATACAATCCCGGTTAACCAAAACCGGACTACCCTTCATCGCAATATTTAAGTTTCGGGCATTGCACTAACATGGCGCGGGCGAACGACCATGCACTCACTAACTACTACCTCTACGTATTTTTACGTGACCAGTTACCAGCTGGTTTTTGGTTAGAATTTCCTTAGTAGTAATTAGCTTCCTTGAGTAAAGAGCTCATCTTCCAGTGAACCCCTTCACCATCTCTTAGAAAACTCGTCGCCGAGTTATAAATAGCCTAAAGCCTTAAACCCTTCTTCGCCGGCCGAAGCCGTTGTCCGCGGATCACCACAAGGAGGTGAGGGTTTCGGCATATCTGTGCTCCCCCTAAAGCATAGTTTATCCCACCCCAGGATAGGTGGACAAGTGAACGGACATATATATGACATTAAGTTATTAAAAATTGTAAAGATAATCAATGCAAATTTGCGAGTGTGAATGAAATGAAAAGCGAAGCTAATGAAACTCAAAAAAAAAGAAAAACATTACTACAAATTTTAAAAAATATGTTTTTACTGCCGGTTGGTATTTATCACTTACGTGTGGTTGTACATGCCATGAGCTGTTTGACTGCAGAAAATCTATCCTGCCATCCTGCAGAAGGTAATCGTCGTCCATATACACGATATGAATTTCAGACTACGAAGAAGAGAAACGTCAGTGAATATTGTCTGGCCGTGTATCTCTTCACTCCAATAGTTAAATAAAGTGCAATTTTGCAAAGGGCGGTTCGAGAATTCAATTCACCTGGCATTCGCTATGGTGTGAGCGTTTGTTTGCCGCGGGTTTTGTTAGCCGCAAATGAGACAACTTTGCTTGTTTATGTATCCAAGCCAACTATCACTCAGAATAATTTTATTTAATAAGTGACGATCTATAATAGTTAATGCATTTCCAGCAAGCAATCAGAGTATGCTTCTAAAAATGTTCTAATTTTTACGTCTCAAAAAACAATGCAGCAATGACAGTTGGGTGTTGATAGCCCAAAAATAGCGTGGGATGACATCTCTTCTAGAAAGATTGGGTATATATATATACATATATATATATATATTTTCGATGAAAATGAAATTAAGATCTTGCATTAATACCTGTTTGCATTAATCAATTGGGGAGTGAAACTATCAAAATTTTCGGAAGGTCATAGACGTATCGAAACCCTCACCTTTTCATCGCGCTCTCAATAACGGTAACAGATTTGCCTCTTGCAAGTCTTACAGGAATATCAGAAGAAGGATCTTTTTTCTTGAGAAGAGGGGGCATTTTTCTTCGCCAATTCGGTTCTCAAATCTACTCAAGTTACAGAGAGGTGGGAGTATTGTAGAGTATGTGCTGTTCGATAACGACCTCGGAAGCATTATTTCCTCGCGAAAGGATAAGTGTTGCGGCATGTGTAAAATGTCCAGAGGTAAGAGTGGCTTTGGGTGCGTACAGTACGATAGCATCGAATGTTGTATAACGTGGGACTTACAGTCCCCTGAACGAGTCGTCATTAAGTTGTGGGTATCCATGGAATTCAGGTTGGCCAAAAGTAAGATTACTCCTGATACGATGGTGCACTTCTCATCAGATTACCGGTAAGAATGCCTTCTTACCTAACGGCTAGGCGCTTCGTGGAGTATTGTGGTGGCTACGGCTACTCTGAAGTTTCATGGGACCGTTAAATACTAAGATGGTAGATAAGCGTCGGTG